CACAACACTAGATAGTGTATTCCAGTGCCTCACTACCCTCCATATAAAAGATTTTTTACTTATATCTAATCTAAATCTATCCTCCACCCCCAGAGCTGTTCAAGGCCAGGTTGGAAGGGGCCCTAGGCAGCCTGATCTAGTGAGGGACAGCCCTGCCCACAGCAGGGGGGTGGAACTGGGTGGATTGTAAAATCCCTTCCAATCCAAACCACTCTTATACTATGAATCTATAAATCTGGCCCTGCAATTATTTCAGAGTTAGAGCTTTGCTCATGTGATTTTTGGAAGCACATTTGTTTTCATATGTGCAATAAAGGCAGCCCTAGTGGAATCCAGTTCCAGACACTTCCAGAAGTGTAAATCTGTTGATGATACTTGTGAAAAGCAATACTCCAAGCATGTTTATAATTAAAAATTAATACTGTAATCTTGGTCATGAAGCTGTGCATCTGACAAATGTACCATCAGGTTCTCAAAGAATGCATACCTATTTGAGAAATGTTATTTGTTACAAATGCTGTCGTGTCCATTGCACACTCTATAAAGAGTAAATTTCTGGAGCAACCTTTCATAGAACCATAGAATGACTTAGGTTGGAAGGGACCTCAAGAATCATCAAGCTCCAACATGCAGGGCCACCAGCCTCCATATCTACTAATACTAGACCAGGCTGCTCAGGGACCCTTCCAACCTGGCCTTGAACACCTACAGGGATGGGGCATCCACAACTTCTCCTCCCAGCCTGTTCCAGCTTTGAAACCTGTGTTCAAACTCTTCAACAAATGAATGTATGAATTGCTCATAGTCATACTCAATCCTACATCCCCTGTAGGAGTAAATCCATGTGAGTACAATTACCACCACAGCTAGCAAGCTGTCCCAAAGCAAGGATGATTGCCATAAAAGACCCAGAATATACACCTGGATATCTTCACTGCAAGAAAGTCCAGCCTGATGAATAATTCACTCAACTCTTTTTGTGGGTCTGATGACTGTCAAATGTACACAGCAATTGTTGATGCCATTCTGTCAAGCCCAGGTTAATGGGATAAACAAGGATAAACAACCGGCATAGCAACTTTCTAAGAACAAGTAATTACAGTGATACTGCTGGCAAGCAGTGTAACGCTGCAAAAGGGTTGAATGACTCTCCTGAGCATAGAGAGTGCTTGGTTTCTACTCTGCAATTTCTCTCATCTGAGATTTTTGGCCATGAACCTAACATTATTCACAGCACTCTCACTTTGGGATTTGTTTCTCAAGAGCCAGGAACATCCTACAGAGTGAACACCAAACTTTTCCTCAATGGGGAAAAAGCAAAACGAAAGATTTGGACTATGAAAAATGAAGTGCAATACGATTTTGACTTTTGGGTCAGACACCAGCAGACATTTTCAGATAAGTATGCATGTTCTGAGCTTTTAATTTAACATGAAGTCTCTGAGCAATACACATGAGCAGCATATTCTGTGCTGCTCCCTCAGCTGCTAATTCACAGAAACCACCAGTCACACTCCAGCATCTTACAAAAACTGGATTTTTCAGGTTTGATATGTTTGCCAGCACCCCCATGAGTCCAGGCAATTTCTTTTCTGGTCATAAGTGCTATTTACCCACTGAACTTCAGGGTTTTTTTGTGGTTTCAGAAATAATTCCACTAGAGACTGGGGCTGCAGACCCCATAAGACCCTAGCCAACATTTGTTTCACTTAAGTCATAGCTTTAGGTTACATTTTCTTCAGAATGGACAGCTAATTAGTATAGTTATATTTGTCTGAGAGCATCAGATTCGGTCACATTGTCACTGGTAACAAAGGAAGCTCACAGGCTGTTCTAAACATCAGTAATCACACAAATAGCTTTCAGACATCTTGTTCTTTATATACTGACTTTGCCCCGAAACAGTTATAACAAATGAAGTGCCATTCTGTTGCAGTGTGTTTACATCTAGGGCATTACCCTATGCACAAGTAAACCTACATACTGGGTAGGAGAGACAATACAGGCTACAGTCTCAAATACAGGGGAAAGTCATAGCTCAGACAAACCTTGACTGCAGTCACCCCCTCTGAGGTCTGGCAAGCTTGAAACAATCAAATTGCTTACAGTACTCTTGGTAGTTTGGCTTTGGCACACATCAAGCCTTACTGTTTCATGACATTGAGTTGTGTTTCCCACCCCCCCCCCCCCCCCCCCCACAGAATTTTCTAGTAGGTTTACTTTTGTTTTACAAGTTTCCTTTCAGCATTTGAAGTTTCTCAAAGTGTGAGAGTGCACTGACTTTACAGCTACCGCCTACTGTTGGAAGATCCAATGACCAACTGCTCTCTATTCACTTTCTCTGTGCTACTCATAGTTTGACTATATTCTCACTACAGTGTTCCTGTTCTATGCTACAGAGCTCTGGTCTGTCATTACTTCTTATAATGGAAGTACTCAATCTGTTTGACCATTCTTAGTCTATGCTCTTTGCTTTTCTAGTTGTCCTGTTGTCTTTATGAGCACCACTTCCAGCACACTGCTATTTATGTGTCTACACATCATAGTTTGCTAAACTGCTTTGCATGCTTCACTCTGTAGAAATCTCTCTCCTAACAGCTATCATAGTATTCAAGAAATATTACTTCTACATCATCTACTACCCAGATGTCAGAAATGGACAAACCAGCAAATATAGCAACAATACCCCAAGGAGATCTCAGTGCAAGTCTCTCTATGTATTTTAAGTTCACTGGTCTGTATACAGAGAAATTAAACCTGTTTCTTCAAGAAAGTCTAGTACGTAAAGTATAATTTCAGCTACTACACAAGAATGTGAACAGACAAGTGATGTGAGGTTTTTGTTGCCTTTTTCATTCAAAGCTGAGGTACAGACTACTGAAAAAAAAAAAAAAAGGACAAAATATTAGACTTCTGGCCTGCTAAACTTTTCTACCCTCTTACACATGGTCAGTAAAAGAAAACAGGTATTATGACATCAGCGAATTACTCATCTGTGCTTAATAGCTCTATTCTTATTATTATTGATTAAAAATTAGTCTGAGGGCTGTTGAAATGCATTTGCATGACAAATTTTGCACTAGGAATGCCAATACTTGCTGTTCAATAGATGTGCCTTCAGCTTATCTAGTACATCATCCATTAACAAAGAGGCTCCTTTGTGTTGCACTCCTGTGAAGCAAAGAAATGCACCTTGGCAGCAGGCATATCTCAGTGTCACACGGATAAGTGAGATTAGAGGAAATGCTAACTTTAAATTAAAGACCAATGATCCAAGAAGGTACGTGTTTACAGACTACTTGATAGGAATATTGTGCTTTGCACATCATTGCTGTATCATGGTGTTTGTGTTGGTGCACATCATGAAAGACTTCAAGAATGATCTGATATGGAGGTCTTTAGAAAAGCCTGTAAAATTGATCGCTTTTATCTCTAGAGTTGTTAAAGCTGTAGTATTGTATAAAAAAAAAAAAAAAAGTGCAATAGTAATATAGAAATTCTTTGCTTATTGAGCAGATGAGTTGCATCTCATGACATCTTTTGGAAGCCAGATTCTAGCTAGTGAAAATAAGGTTCCTTTGCTCACCTAAGGCTATGAAGAGGTCATTCACAGCCTTCCCATATCAGCAGCCTCCAATCTGCAGACTGTCAGCACACTTAAAAATCCAGCCTCCACTGCAGCTGGAGATAAAGTGGCCACAGACCTGACAGAGAAGGAATTGTCATGTAGATCAGGTGATGGAGTGAGCAGAGAAGAGGCATATGGAGGAAGGGACCCATGATCCCCAGGATTAGATCACTGTCAGGATGGCAATATAGCAGCAGCTCCCAGCAAAGGCAATGGTGCTATCTCCTTGGTAGCTAGCACAGGGACCACCACAATCCAGCCTCTAACAAGCAGAAATAAGTCCATTAATGTGATGTTTCTTGGAATCACCACTTCTTTATGCTTCATAGAACATTGGTAAGTGTCTGTCTTTTTACTTATGAATGCACCAGGGCAAGTAAGTTCTGGTTTCAGACTTGTATCCTCTGAAGTCACAGAACTGATTAGACTCTAAAGGCTTGCTGCAGTTTAAGACACTCAGGTATTTTTTTGTTGTGCAGTCAGCAAAAGATTAAAAAAAAAATAATCATGGGTATATACCACACATGCCCTGAAAACGTTTCAGTCCCAAAAGGTATTCACTAAAAAATAAAGAACTAATTGGGGCTTTAGCAGTCTTGGCTACATGAAAATGTGCAGTCTTTAAGTACTGTTTCCATCATTAATAAAGATAGCAGGACATGCTCTGTATTTGTGTAACAATTATCTCCCAGGTTCCATTTTGCTCCTCTAGATCAACTTGCTTCAAGTATTCTGCTCCATGATTTATAGCTAGACCTGCTCTGTCACCATCTGCTCTGCTGTTGCTCAAGAAAGAACAAATTCCCAGAAGACATTACTGTCCAGACTAAGAGTCATAGAAGCATCCACTGCACATTCAGCCAAACATTGACTAATGGAGAGCTAAGCTATAATAAAAAAATCCCTTCTTTCCCATTCACTACAGTTCAAATCCATATAAAAAAAAAAACTTGGTGGAATTCAACTATCCTCCTTGGGGATATAGGTTACCATCTGTCTGGTTTCCAGTGGTACATTTAAAAAACATTTGTCCCATTTTCATAGAACATCCTGCTGCACAGCAACCTCTTTAATATCTAATTACACAGTATTATGTATCACATATGTCACAACCAGAATAATTTGGCCTAAGTTTCTACTATGTAGTCTAGTCTGCTTTGCTATTTTAAATTAAGTTATCCAAACACCTACAAATCCAAAATTATGCCTCTAGCTAATGTAATTAGGACAAAAAAGTAAACATTGAACTGCCCAAGGAATATTTTCAATTTAATTCGTATAGGATTTTCATTTCAAACACAAGCCAAAATATAATTTAAAGTTTAATGTACTTACTGCATAAAAAAGAATAAATTCAAGTTCGTAAAGGCAAGCAAGAGAACAAAAATCTTCACACACAAAACCATGACACTACCCATAAAACAGCATGCAAATACCAGAAACATACCACAAAATCTTCCCAGCTGGCCCCAGAGGGCAGGCAGTCAAAGAAGAACATCTTCCCAAAACACACCTGCTTGAGCTCCCCAGTGTGGAGCCCACCCAGCTCTGCAGGGACCTTCTCATTAACTTCACCAAATCCAGGCACTGCTGAGAGAACTCAAAGAAGGTCTGGAGAGGTAAATAGACTGTACTGCAGCTCTGACCAGCCTATTGGCCATGTCTCTGAGCACCTTTATAATGATGATCAGAGTACAGATTCAATGGAAGCATGATGACTGCAAGTGCACACAGAACCACCTGACAGCAAAATCCCAGACCAGTAGATTGCACCACTTTGCCCAGTTGTGCTGTACTTCTGCCCAGCTCATGCATGGACTACGCTCCAGCAGTGAAGCCTCTTCTACAAAGAGATGTCTGTGCTGCTGGAGAACAGTTTAGGTGGCTAAATTATATATTAACTTGAGAGACCAACTCTAATGCCTCGAGCATGAATGGCCTTTACATACAATGTATGACAGAGCAAAGAAAGCTTGCATGCCCTGGTTGCACATTACAAGAATAATTTTCACATTAGAAACAATCATAACAATGTGGGCTTTGTCTATCCCAAATCTCAGAGGAGAGTGCAGGGCTGGAGGTGCATAGGTAGTTGGAACTGCCCAATTTGAATCACTTCATAAATGACTCTTTTTTAACTGATGTTAAACTGGGATTGGGTTGAGAAATTACAGTAGTAATTGTCAGGTTTTACTTAGAGAATGATGCTATTTACAAAATGGACACTAAATTCCCAAGAAGAACTACAACAAAAGAGAAGTTTATAAATCACTTAAATCTTAGATAACTTGTTCTGTTCTGCAGAAATCTCCATAGGGCAGAAAATGCTCTTTGTAGAAAAAACTGCACAGCCATCACATAACATTCCATTGTACTGCTGAGCTAGTCAATGAGATTTAGGAAATATTCAGACATTGATACCAAAGCCTATCCACTAATTGTCCCCAACGGTAATATTACAGTATCACGAGAAGTTAGCCCGGAGAAAAATCATCTGACACCCATGAAAGTTTATCTTCTGTTTGAGGACAGATTATCCGAACAAGATCAGTCTGACTCCAAAGTTACCTTGGAGTATGGATCCTGAACTCTACAACATTCAAGTCAACATCTGAATGAGTAAAAGAAAAGCAAGTATCATGACTAAGGAGACTTTTCATTTTAAATCTATCATCAGTGGACATTCTACCTCTCCAATTGGAAATAAATACAAAAGGAAAGTGATCTCTATGTCTTCCTTCCCGTAACTTTTCATTTTTTTCCAAGTCAGAACTTGCAACTTCATGATCTTCATGTAAACATCCACATTTGAACACATTTGTTCATATTACATTTGTAATTTCCAGAGCAATCATGGTTGTATCCAACAGACAAAACAATCCTCTATTTATGGCTTGTCTACGCACGGGGGTGTAAGTACTTCAGTAAAGACAAGATTTAACAGTTCATCCCCCTTCTCATCATGAAGTTAGCCAGGACAACTGGTGGCAATGCAGACTTCCCATATAATAACAAGATAATAGCCTTAAGTTTTACACACAAAGACTGTTTTTGGTGTCCCAGACCTATAGGGGGAGAGAGAATCATCTGCAAAAGAAAACTGAATGCACCTAATTTCATCCCTGAGCAATGGGAATACACTGCAACATTCTTTGCTTAAACCTGAAATGTTTACTAAGATATTAACTCTATTTTATGACTGCTGATCAATGTAAAACAGCAAATCCACATATGTAATCCCAGAAAAGAAATAATAATATCAACAATAATACCAATAATAACAAAAATAACAGCTGCAGTAAATTCAGTGTAGGAATCTGAGATACCATAAAAAACTGCAAAATCCGAAGGCTTTTAAAATTATTTTCAAGACAGATAATTGTTTAAATGTCTTAGTTCTAATAGAACTTTTAAAATGTCCCTGCTGATACCACTGATAAAATCTGCTTGGTTTGTTTATAAGAGGGTACTGGGCTGAGTCTGCAAAACTCAAATGCACTTTGATTACAAACTGGCAGGATAAAATGAGCTACATTAGTAAAAATGAAGCTGAGTATTTCCATTTTAACTACACCAAAGACTGTGATCACCCAAAGCACAACGGTAACTCCCAGAGAGTATTTGTTGGAGGGTGTGGGAACAAGCTTATGAAGTCTGAACATGTGGTTCAGAATGCACTGCTGAGAGCACCTGGTGACTGGCTGGTGACAAGAGAACTGCCCATATTTAGTGTAACAGACAGCTCTTCAGGGCAAAGACCTCATAGTTCACTAGCAGAGAAAAGTTTCTTGATGCTTAGTCTGAACTCTTAAGCACTTGGTGTAACAATGATTAACCATACTGCATATTAAATAATGAAGCAGTTTCAGAGCAATTAGCTTTTCACAGAAACAGGACTTTATAACTCTTACCTAAGTTAACCTACATGTTGTACAGCTTTTTAACTCCTTAGTACTCTAAATAGTAGGATTTGCAATAGCTCTATTAATCAAAGTGATGGAAGAATGAAATCATTACACTATGCCAGGAAGACGTCAAGTCAGTATCAAAATCATAACATTTTTAGTTAAAGCAGTTTATCTGGACCTTGGAAATGTTTAGACTACACAGCTGAAAGTTAGAAACCAGACAATTGAATTAAGCCGATTACAAATGATCATTGAGACTGACATCAACAATCTTGTACTGAAGAAATTTCTAGGACACTGAGCCAAAAAGTCTAAAGATAGCTAAAGGAAGTTCCTCATAATTCATCATTAATCCCAACCAAGATAAGGTCACTGGAAGGAGCCAAAGGTGGGAAATACAAGGGACTGTAGGCTGCCTGTTTGGTAACACTTCACTTCTGAAAGATCGGTTAGCAGGACTCATTTAGGACATTCAGCTCATTTAGGACTGACTTCTATGACCAGATGAACAATGCTTTAAGGCTGAGGCTACAATTTATTATTGGTGCTGTTAAAAATTAGATGCTAGCAAACTACCAAAACCTGCTGCTGGATTTGGCTGTGCTAGGCTGCATCTTAGCACATACTGATGCCAATCCTTGTTCCACCTAGCTTTTAGTCTAAAGCCCAGCTTCTTAGTGCAGGAAAAGAACAATCAGTTTGAAAAGTAAATAAGAAAATAAAGTACCAACGTGCTCAGTTCTTCACCACCCAGTAGCAGACACCTCAGCAGCCAAATCCTGAGAAGATGCTCTGCTTAGCACTGTGGATTTCCAAAGGACAACTCCAGTCCTAAAGGCACAAGCAGAAGCTGTAGTTGTCACCCTGTCTACTTTTGCTTTCTGCAACTGTCACCAGTTTATTTCATCAAGGTGTCTCATGCAGTACTCTCAGCCCATACTGTAAATGGCAGAGCACAGTTCTTTTCTTGGCATCTTTCTTTGACTTTTGCTGGAAAACTACTCAGTGAACAGCAAAGACAACATCTGAGACTATATTTGAACATTATTAGTTTTGTATCGGAAATAGGAGTATGTGTTAAGTGCTTGCTGTAAACTGCAAAGTATCATAAATCCTGTTGATTTTTGTAGGTCAGATCCCAGAAGAAATCTGAGCAAAGAGACTGAAATGCAGATAAGGAGAAAAAATTTCCTCAGGCTGTTATATGTAAGAATAACAAGTAATACTTAGAAGTAAAGCTAGTAATTCCCCAAACACGACTGCATTCAGCCTATGCAAATATTTCAAGTGAAATTCAAAAGCTAAATATTTTAAGTCAATATTACTGCTCTCCAAAATAAGTAATGTGCTCACTGAAATATTTCATGAATCTACGCATAGTTCTTCACAGATTTAGTCCTTTAGGCCTCCTATGTGCAGTCTATACTTGTTCCACACTCAAAGACATCCTCCCACTCAAGGTCAATAAGAAACAAAGAGACCTTAAATTAAGCAAGTGTGCAACAGAGGCAATGAAGTGCAGTGCCCATCAATACAGTGTAGTTTGGTTTAGAAAGGCAAACCTAGGCTTCAGCTTAGTCACTCTCCAGGACCTTTAGTTGACTGTATTATTTCAGGAAGAGGGCATTTCGACTGAGACATCTGCTCAGTGTTTGGCTGCTGTCAAAAAAAAAAAAATCTACCAGCAAAGTATTTTGGATAGAGTATTAGTGTGCCTGCTCTCAGACTTGAGTTAAAGCTAGTCCTCAGTTATTACTGAGACACAGCTTAGAACTCTGACATATCGGACTCCCTAAGACTCCTTTCCTGCACATCAATTTTGTTTGGGTAAAGCTCAGTGCTACACACGTCAGATCAGAAACCACAAATATTCCTTCTGCATGCCTCTCTTACAGCTAGAATAATGAATTTAGTTCTCAGCCTGTTAGCTCACCTCCATTCACTGCCTGGATTATCATAAACACAGATCTAACACATCACATCCTAGTATTTTCAGACGTGGGCTATTTTATGTATTTGGGTAAAACCACTGTATAGAGGAAGTGTTAAGAGGCCATACTAAAGACAGAATTAATACAATGAATGAACAAAGCCTAACCATCTTGTACAGACATGCATTTATATAAATAGAAAACTGAAGAAGCAGCCTCCAGATGGTGAAATGTAGCCCGATGGAACAGATTTGGAGCCAGTGGGACCAAGAGAACACATATGCACTCTAAGCTGCAAGACTCATCCCTGCTTTCTAGCAGTAGGAAGTGGCTTTATAATGCTCAGAATACAATTTTTAACACCAATAAAAGAATCATTTTTAATTTTCTGTTATTACTACTAAAATACTTAATAAAATCACGTAATTGGTGTCTGACCAAATGGTTGGGGAGAAGTTTAATACTACAGGAATTACTCTTTAAGGTAAAAAGAATTTGTCACAAGCGGGCTGTAAGTGAGCAGCTTGTGTAGAACTTCTACACATTAAAAATAAACTACTGGAGAAAGGTGTTTGCATCTTACAGAATTGTTCTCCCATATTTCTGTGAAGGGTAAATCTTACTTTATGGCTTAGGGTACTCTTATTACATAAGAGTGATATATAATAATATCATTATGCTATGTAATTTAAGTAGTAAGGCAGAAGAACTTCCTTCTGATATAAAACAGATTTCATGAAGCTTAATTGTAAATAAGACAGTGATTTAACAAGATTTATAATGGTTGAATATACTTATTATCTACTGTATAGAAGGCAGAGTTGAACACATTCATTCAGCACCCTCCCATTTGATCATAAGGCTCAGAGAGGACACCCTTCTTTTCTCAACTTGAACCATAGAGGTAAGGAGCTTGAATATGGCTGGATCCACCCCAAGTCCCATATTTGCTCCATAGCTCATATCTAATCACATGCACACAATCAGTTCAAGACATAAACTTGGCAAAACTAAGAAAGCTTAAGACAATTAGTCACCCACCACAGTTCTGTAAGAGCAAGGTATCTTGATATCAAGGCGTAGGAGATCTCTGAATCTGTACAATCTTGACAGGTATCCCCACTCAAGGGAGACTGACACACAGACAGCTGCTATGCAGGAGCACACAGAGGGCTCCCAGGCCCCTGGACCACCGCTATTTATGGGGTAAGAAGACTGACTCACAGCTGGTTTGTAGGCACATGCTCAGTTATAATCAGCTGTTGAACCAGGTGTTTGCTATCAGTTCTTCCAGCCACGCAATCTGAGGAAGATGTGTGGTCATAAATCTCCCTTAACAAGGGATGCAGTTATCTGTACAGTTACTTCTCTACCTGAGTGAGGTCCTGTGAATAAGGCCTGGCCCAAGGAGAGATTTGTTGGGAAGAAGCGTTCATGGAGGGAGTGTGATGTCACAACTCTTTAACCAATCCACTAGCAGATTTGTTTACACTTATTATCTACTCTGATACTTCAGTTTTGTAATAATCATAACAATTTAAGATTAAAACTCTGCTCTCCTGTTTAACACTATGTATTTTGGGAAAAAAATTGCATTGGTAGTTTCTTGCTCTTGTCTTCTTGAATGTACAAATGTAATACTTAGCTGATGAAAATGAAGGAAGCATTATTGCGTCTCCTTTAAGGTCACAATTCTTATCTCTTGTAGACATCTGTCCTTGCTGCTCTCCTCCCAGCAACTCTGTCTGCATATGGATGCTGAAGCAGAAAGCAGACGCTGCTCTTGCTTCCATGAGGAGAAAGAATAGTGATTTCTGAGGTCTGAATCCAGCTCGTCTACCAGCTGTGCTGCCAACTTTACTGCTATGTGCTCATACGCATACCTGTACACCTCTAACCCGACAACCTGCTTCTGAAGTGAGCCATGTGGCATTGGTGTCATGGTTCATCTTATTTATTTGGTCTGCCATTGGGCTAAGCTAGCTCAAGTTTCATTTTTTTTCCCTCAGATCTGTAACTACCTGATTCAAAAGGTTCGTTCAGTACGATCGTAAGTGGCCACATCCTGCTCTAGAGTACTTACAGCCCAGTTATAAAGCACAAAAAATGCCAAGTGCCAGGGCCTGCAGCTGCAGCCAATGGCTGCATAATAGTGAAAACAGAAAAAAGGCTGAACAACAAAACCAGAACCCCAAGAATGGTGAGATCATTGGTAGGAGCTGTGAATCTGTGTAAGGAGTTTTTTACAGCTTTTTACAAGCTGTTAGTTTGGTGGAAGTGGACTAATTACTGCAGATATGGCTGCAATGCTTGCAGAAGTAATTTAAGTTTGATCTCGCACTGAAATAGTGCTGTAATGAGCTCTCCCTGTGAGTTAGCTGTGGGGACAGTGAGAGAAGCTTGCTAGGTAATTTCAGGTAGTTTAAGATATTATTATCTTTTCTGCCTTTTATAGGCAGATCTCTCCTGATCTCTCCTCCATTGGTTTTAATACTAAGCCTTATAAACAACAACAGCAATGAGAGCGATAGTCACACGGGCTGTTAAAATCAGCACTTTTCACCCAGAATTGGTGGTGGTACATTACCTGCGAGCTGCGAGGCTTCAGCTCGAAATAAACAGCACGCAAAGCACCGTGGCTACCTCGCAGGGACATCAGCCAGCCCCACGCGTCTAAATGAGGCACTTGTAGCATCGCCATGACCCTGAACTGTAGCTGAGGATGCTCACCAGCCGCCTGGAAGACTTTGCTCCCAGGTCGTTGGTCCCGCCAGGGGGAGCAGGGAGCGGGGAACACCGGCTCCGCGTGTTAAACGGACGAGGAAAATTTTGCCTTACACGATTTTTAATTTGTATTTGTTCCTCCTACCCGGTAATATTTAGAGAAATCAAAATGAGAGGGAAAAAAAAAAAAAAAAAAAAAAAAGTCAGAGGGAGAGGAACCCGAGAGAACGGCCCGTTTAAGGGAAAACAGACTGAAATATTTTCCTTGAGGGCTGAGCCCGGAGTGGTCAGAAGGCACAGCCCCGAGGGACGCAAAACCGAACCCTGTGCTCCAGCTCTCCGATGTCGGAGGCGCATCTCTGTGGGTGGCACACCGAGGATGCACAACTCGGAGAGATGTTTCCCTGCTCAAACCAAAAGCCCCAAATCTGCTCGGTCCATTTCGAAAATTATTTCCCCCAGAATAAACTGATAAGCAGCTCCTTCTGTGGTTTTCGTGATGCTGGCCGACTCACTGTTATGCTGTCGGCGGAGAAAGGCTCAGACAGCCACGAAACGGCCGCGTCTTTCTGCCCAGCCCCACTCTCCCAGAGGTGCGGTACATCTCCTGCGGGTCCGTGTGCGCGTACCACGTATCCGGGAGAGGAAGCGAGTTAAAAAGCAGAGACCTAGTGCAAAATCTCACGCTCGCTCGTTTTCCGAGTCCCTCAAGGCGCTGCCGCCAATCCTCCTTGCATTGGGAGGAGTGCCGCCGGTTCGCTCAGAGCCGAACGAGCCTCGGCCGACACCTCAGAGCCCCCCCGAGAGCGCGGAGCCGTGCGGGGCCGTGCGGGGCGGCAGGTAAGCGCGGGGCCGTGCGGCGGGGGCGGCTCCTCCCGCGGGGCGGCGGCGCGGAGGGGTCGGGCGGAGGGAGCAGCCCCCGAACGCGGCTCCGCACCCGGGGCCGCCCCCTGCGTGCCCCGCCGGGGCGGGCGGGCAGCGCGGGGCGATGGCGGGGCGGCGGCGGCTGCTGCTGCTGCGCTGCCTCCTGCTGGGGCTGCTGGGCGGCGGCTGCGGGCAGCGCGGCGGCGGAGAGTACTGCCACGGCTGGGTGGACGGGCAGGGCGGCTACCACGACGGCTTCCAGTGCCCAGAGGGCTTCGACACTGCGGCCGCCACCATCTGCTGCGGCTCCTGCGCGCTGCGTTATTGTTGCGCGGCCGCCGAGGCGCGGTTGGAGCAGGGCGGCTGCACCAACCACCGGGAGCCTCCGGAGCCGGCGGTCAGCGCCCGTGAGTGTCGCGGCACGCGGGGCGGCGTAGCCGCGGGCTCCGGAGGGGTGAGGGGGAAAGAGGAGAGCGAGACTGGGGGAGCCCGCACGAAGCGGGCGGTGGTGATGCGGTGATGCGGACCTGGTGTACGGAGCTTCTGTCGTGCATTGGTGAGAGAGCTGTCAGCAATATGGAGCTTTGACCCATATCTGTGGGGAACAGACTTTTAATTTAGCTCCTATGAGAGAGGTCAGAGGTTCCATCTCCTGCGATACTCAGTGCCCACCAGGATGAAAACAGCGGCGTGGGGCTTTGGGAACTCTGTGGGGTTAATTTCTAAGCCAGAGAATGGGTATTTCCCCTGACTAACATAGCTTTTCCTTTTCTTTCCTTGCTAGAACCCATCTATGTGCCGTTCCTCATTGTCGGATCAATATTTATCGCCTTTATCATCGTGGGCTCCCTGGTGGCTGTTTACTGCTGCACGTGCCTCAGGCCCAAGCAGCCATCCCAGCCCATCCGCTTCTCCCTCCGGAGCTACCAGACCGAGACTCTGCCCATGATCCTGTCCTCATCTAGCTGCCGGGCCCCATCCCGACCATCTAGCACAGCCACCAGCTCCAGCTCAGCAAGTGGCTCCCTGCGCCGCTTTTCCCTGGCCCGCACAGAGCCAGGCTGCTTGCTGTCATCGCCGCCACCCCCATACTCGGCCGGCTGCTTTCCCGCAGCCCACAGCACACACCTGGGGTCACCGCCGGGCTTCCTGCAGGCACCGCCGTACCTGGGTTACCCCGAGCCAGCCCTGGGTGGGAAGGGCTGTGCCGACCTCGCGCAGAGCTGAGCAGAGCGTCACGGTCTTTGGGAGCGTGAGGACTGACTGCAGTGCTTGGTGCTCTGCTCTGATGGAGGCAGACCTGTGGGTGAGTTGCCATTGAGAAGCGCAAGGCCTCGGAACAGTCCTGAGTGCTTCCCCCAACCTGGATTACAGCTACAGATGTTTTGTGAAGTATTCTGATCTTAGCTGCCTTAATAACCAACTGCTCTGATGGTTTGATCTGATTTGTGCAGAGCACATTGAGATACAACTAGAAAACCGTTTCTGGGACAAGGTTACCCAGCTCAAGGCGCTGTAAGTGATGTTTTAACCATAAATGATATTAACTTTGCTAACAAGCAGTGGCCGCGCTCCAGGGCTCCAATAACCAGCATAGTTTTATCCAGCAGCAATAAGTAACAGAGGTAACAGTACTAAACTAGAGCTCTGCGGACCCTAACTCAGCTGCCTGCTCCCATGGGCAATGTGAGAAGGTATGTATTAAGATATTGAAGGCCCTAGTTTCTAAACATACAGAAAATGTACCTGAACTTACATTGCATATTTATACTGGTGAACTTAACTAAAATAAATAAAATAGCACGATTTAGGCTAGCTGAAAACATACTGGTCCCGAGCAGCCAAATAATCCTATGCTAGAAGAACAGAACGTGTTTGCTAATATTTCCACATAACTCCTTGGCATGCAATCCCAGAGCTGTGCTGCACTGAGGCGTTTTTTAGAGGGAAATATTTATTGGTGGCCTTTTGCTCAGCGCCATGCATACATTGGATGAACTGATCCTGAAGTTCTATTTGTAAAATTAGCCATGTATAAATGTAAAGCTTGTAATTTAAGATGTATTTACAGCATTGACAGCACTAATTATTTAGTAGTCACACCAACAGTTTATCAATAAACAGTGGTGGAAATCTGGTGTCAACTGTGTCTCTGCACATACACTACTCCATGAACGCATCTTCACTTTGGCAGTGAAACTATTCTGCTTATTTTCCTGTCAAAAACACTATTTTGCATTTGTAAATGCTTTACATCTTTAGCTGTGCACCTGTTGTGCAGACTTGATATGATGTAAGATTCTCTCCAGCTAATAGACTAATTGATATCTTGTATATGCGCCTCAAAATGTAATGTGGTTGAAAACGACACTGATTAGTTGGGTATTTTAATCTGAAACAGCCATAGGAACATGTTTTGTTTGCCCCCTACATTCCTTCATCCAAGTAAATCAACAAACCAAATGGAAGAAGAAAAAAAAGGCATCTAAATCAAACACACGCAGCAAGCCAAGAGAAGAGCATGAGAAAAATGGGCAGTTATTGAAGGGCCTCCTTTATAATTCATTTTGTGACAAATGCAGTCATATCACACAGAAGATTCTGCAGTGTCAGAGGCTGAATTTCCCTTTTCAGTAAGTCCCAAACTCCATGTGTGGGATCAGATTAGGGTGGTGCAGCTGGCCTGTACAACAGCCATCAGCATATTAGTGTTTATGAGATTCACAGCACCTCTGGTCTGAACTGTGGCAAATCTTTGTTTTTGAAGAGATACCAAGAGTTAATTGTTCTTTTTCAAGAACTGAACAGTAGGCTTTTTTCTTAGCAGAGATCTAACAATATTTCTTTGCATTTATAAAGAAAATAGTTCTGAAAATATCACCTTTAATAATGATTTTTGTTGCATAATCAACATTACAATCCATGAAATTTCTAAGGAAAAGACAACTCACATTCCATAGAGCAATGCTTTACATAGTAGGATTTGATTTGACTGTTGGAACCAAGACATAACAGTGTATGTGCTCTACAGCATATAGCAACATATAGCAGAAATAAATACTGAACTGTATCAACTTCAGTTTGCTAATATGTAATACATCTTCAGGTGGTAGAAATATTTCTCTTGCAGTAAATTCTAGCAAAAGAGATCTCGCAGGCAGAAACATTAATGTGATCCATTTTGGCTAGAAAAGAACAATTTTATTTCCTTCAAACATTGAGCAGGCATCATAACCACTGACAAAGGTGACAGCAAGCTGAAATTTGGCATTTCCCTCAAAGATGTGCCATGCGTGAGTGACTGGGAGTTTGGCACAGTTATCGCCTATTAGCATTTATCAGTGTACATGAAAGGACAGGCTCCAGAACAGCTGCAGCAGGTTCTGAAGTAACATCTACTCACGTATTAACACAGGGACTGATTTTTGCTATGCTTGACGACAGTCTTTCAGATAGGGAGGTTTATTCAGCCTAGGTAGAGGCTGTAAGGTTTGACGTGTATGTGAAATTCAGCCTCATCGGGAAATGCTGCCTGAGCTTATTCGCTTCCTACTCTGATTCTGAGCTCGGCCTCATAAAATGCTGGAAAAATAATACACAGGAACAGTTTCATTGAATCAGGCCTCAAAGTGTATGCTGTGCCAAGCTCCTCAAGGAGTTTTGGGAATGATGACACCAGGTGTGGTGGGGATGGCATTGTGCAAACAGGCTGACCAAGAACGGTGAGTAACTGTTAAAGTAAGGATACTGATAGTGAGGCAGATAGTGCAAAAGAGAGGAAGAGATGTTGACAGAACACAAACTCAAGGGTTGAAGCAGTCATTGCCTATGCTGGTCATTCCTGGCACAATTGGATTTGGGCTCTGAGTTAAAGTGCTGAATTTTCTTCTGATCAAGAAGGACCCAATGGCAGAGATACTGCTGTGATTTACAGAAAGTATCCATTCTTTTAAAACCTGCAGACAGAACACAAATGGCATTTTGGTTGACAATTTTAATGACTAATAAAGCAGTTTGAAGGGCAAGATGTTGGCCTGAAGAAAATATTTAGGCAGTACTTGCTTACCATCACCACTTATTTTGAATGAATTAGATCAGCCCTTTGTTTTGTTTTCCTGTATGAAGGGTTTCTTCCACACACATCTCCAAAACATATCAGACCTCCAGTGTGCAAAGGAAAGCACTACGTGTGCTCGCAGGAATTTCCGAAGGATTTTATTTGAAGCGAGGTATGCAGTATAGCAAATGGCTAGGTATGCTGATGGGCTAATGCTCCTGGAGTATAATAAAATGATATATGAAAATTTCAAAATTATTTTGCTGCTACTATTAGCATAAGGGTTGACAGTAGCATTAAAGATTTAGAGCCAGCCCTTGGTGCAGCTTTTCTGCATGCAGCCATGTGGGCTGTGCAGGCTGCTCTGAACTGAACTGCTTTTGAACGGTCTGCTGTTCTGCAACATCCAGACAAAGTTCTTCATTTGCAATTATGCTGAGGCTGCAATTCCATGATATGCTGTCTTTACTAGCAGAGTTAAGAAGAAATGCCTCTCTTCACCTGACTTATGACGGATTCAGGTCTGTAATACGTCAGCTGAGTGAAATGATTTTGCTTATGACTAACATTTCCCATAAAAGAAGAGAGTTAGGACTTGAAAAGGAACCTGTATTGCTATAACCTGGATTGTAACCTGAGTAATTTCAATGCTGTTATGACTGTCAGCATAACAGAGGACGTGGAATTGCTTTAAAGCAGCTTTACCATTTGGGAGGGCATCATGAAAAAGCATAGAAGGTGTATCCACTATCGATCCTAACAGAATACAGAATCTACAAGACAAATCAATTGCCTACCATCAAAAAAGAATCAGTCACCTATCTTCACCCAAAACACAATCAGGTGTGGCTGTACTGATTTTTATTCAGTGGGTGGACACTGTTAGCATGAAGAAGCATCTGCCACTATTGAGGTCAAAGGATGCGGTACTTACCACTGTTATCTGAAAATTGAAGCAACATTCCCTTATTCCTGCTTTGCCATTTCTGTTCTGCATACTTCTTTCCAAATAGGGCAGCACCACCAGAACTACCTTAGGGCTCGGCTGCAAATCATTACATTGCTGACTCGTATATTCTTTTTGTTTGTTCAAAACTCTTTCTGGACTTCACATGAGAGCCAAGTAAGGCAGTTGAAAATAACTCCTTAAAAAAGAAACTACGTTTTTATATTTTTTCAACTTCTTACAGTAACATAAGTGATCTCTGATGCTTGTGAAATGCCATTTCTGATATGTTCCATTTCAGAAGAATAAAAAAATGAGACTGATGGAGACAGTTTTTTTTTCTTTGAAAGTAATCCCTCATATTTGCAACCATTCATTTCAATAAAACATCTTCATTAATGGCAAAGTTTATTATTTTTTAACAATTAAAAGACAAAACATTTAAAATTTGCAGTTCAAAACATGCACATTCACCGAATGCTAAATGACATGTAACACTGCATAGAACCAAATGTGTTACCAAAAGAGAATAACTATAAAACACAGTGCATTTAACATCCAGTTAAAACGAAACCTGAGAAACTACCATAAACACCGATTCAAGAAGTCTTCGTTCATGCAGCTTCATAGTTTCCACAACAGTTTCAGCAGTAGTGGCTCAGTGGGGCTGTAAAGCCTCACTTTGCCTCGAATGCAGATTTTGCTTGTACACAGCGACCACTTTCTGCAGCAGTTCATACATATCAAACACTGAAAATCTTAATGGAAAATTAAGTTGAAGTATTAAAAAGCAATATCAGTGCATTTATGGCTTCAGTTCTACAATGAAGAAACACAATAAAACATAAAAAAAAAACCCAAAACTTATTCTGGTCACAGCTTTGCAATTACAAATCACTATTTAGGGAAATGCTTTCATTTAAGCAATCCTCCAAAAGTACCAACCCTCCTACGTGCCCAACTCAGCACGGCCGTTACTCAGCTGAGCAGCCCTCACACTTGCGAGCAGCCCAATTGAAGCTTATGTGAGTAACGGCTTGCATAAGCAGGAACCAGGTTTGGAATGCTAAAATATCCCTTTGTTTAATGAAGATCTATTGGTTAACAGCGAACAAACTGGGGGAGCGAGGGTGGGGGGCGAAGGAGCCACTCATTTGTTGAGTTTGCTACCAGTGAAAACATTCAGTACCAAGAAAATGGAAACGACAAACTCATTTGCTTACACAGCGCTAGCTTCTGGCTATATACTATGAGGAGACTTTTAACGAAGGCAGTAAAAATGAGGGCAGAGCAACCACCATGCATTGCCTCAGAACACTGAAAAAATATCACTTCATGCAGACAAAATGACAAATTCATCAGAACTACAAGTGCTTTCACACAACACAGAAGAAAACAGGAAAATAACTTCTCTCCTTAAATTTAACACATGTTCCAAATCACTACTCATTCAAGATGGGTTTAAATGTAACGAAAAGCCCTAAGACACTTTATATGCATCTCTGTGATACAGGGGACTTTATGAATGGATGTGGGCATATAGGAATTTTCATCTCTTATTGTTTCAAAATATTTTATCTTTTTTATACAAATAGAATGATGATCAAGTATAAATCTGTTGAAACTGCCTTGCAAAAATAAGTGTAAAATTAGGAACTGGCAAGAAAAGTTTCCAAATACAAGTTAGCAATAAGTTTGTTAAAATTGTTTCCAGTTACTCTTTTGAATCACTTATATATCTATGTATATATATTTAAAAATAATTAAGCAACAGTTTTTATATAAGATATCTGATTTTGAAGTGGCACTGCTCCAACTTTCCAATGTAAATGTATAATACTAACTGGTAATTACCCAGCACACATGAAGCAGATGGAAAATTCCACATGAATTCTGTATTTAATACAAATTTGAATTGTTAAATGGTGAGAACAAGTGCACTGTTACAACCATTTTTTACCCACACTCTTTTTTCTTCAAACAAACATCTGCACAATCCCCTTACATTAACAAAGACAGGATGAACAAATCAGACGATAACAGACCACATTACTGTGTACTTAACAGGAAAATAAAGTGCATCTTGTATTCTTGATCTGATTTAAAAAGTGGGCACACATAGGTAGGTTG